TAGGGTGGGGTGGGGGGATGTGCATGTGAGGGATGGTATGAACGTTCAAGTAACGTAAGAATGGGAGGAAGGTGAAGGGGAGGGGGAAGGGAGGGGGCATGAGGAACATGTGCTCATTGACGACGGCGGGCGGGGGGAGGGCGGGCTCTCGTAACGATACGAAAGGTGAGGGGAAAAGATCGGAAAGGAAACACATATGGGGAAGGGAGTTACATGCGATATTAGGAAAACAAAAAAGAGAAAGGGGGGCCGTGCAGGTGTATGTGCGTATGTTTGTATGTGCGCTGAGGGGAAGCCCACGGGTCCCGTCGTACCTCCTCACTGCCGTACTGCCTGCCGCACGTGTCGCACTCCCAGTATGCAGAGGGCCCCCCGCTGACGTCACCACCCGCGTCATCAGCACCGCCGCCGCCGCCGCCGCCGCCGCTAGGACCGGCCTGCATGCCGCCAGCACCTATGACGCAATCGCCAGCTGCGTCTGTCCAGTACACAAACCCGCCGCCCCCGCCACCTCTCCCGCCGCCACCGCCACCGCCGCCGTCGTCGTTGTTGTTGTCGTGGGTAGCGGCGCCGGTGGTGGCGGCGGTTGCAGCTGTCCATGGTGCCATCACGTTGCCATCCACCGCCTTGTCGCCGCTCATGGTGGTGGCGGCGACACCCTCCCCGCCTCCGCCTCCGCCACCGCCTCCATCGCTCCCTCCATTGTAACGCTCTTGGCGGTTGTGGTGGTCGTGGTTTTGGGGGTTATGGCAGTTGGGGCAGGGCAACGACCGGTACGGGTCCCGGCGGCGGTTGCATCTGCTACAACAGCAACTGAAGAGCTTTGTTCGTACCTGCGGGGGGGGTCCTTGTGCGAATGGGTTGAAGGGGGCCGGGCGGGGATATGTGTTTCGTGGCCGGGCGGCGGAGCGGGATTGCAGCGTGGGGTGCGCGAGGAGCAGGGCGAGAGCAGCCCCTGCATGTGTGTGATATAGACATACAAACAGATAGGTAGACGGGGCGACAGAGACAGGCAGACTGACAGATTGACAAACAGGAAGACAGGTAACCACAAAGACAGACAGGCCGACAGTCAGCCAGGCATACATACAGACATACATAGACATACACACAGACAGAGGAACTGGAGCCTCTCCACCGCACCAGTAGCTTCTGACGCATGCGAGTGGACAGCAGCGTCTGCTCGTCCCAGCCCTGTAATATTCCACCGTACGACATGTGTACGGCGTTCGGTGTACGGCAGTGATGGTGTACGGAGATGGTGAGCATGTTGAGGCCGTGTCGGAATAGCGCAGCAAGGCCCGCCACGTCGCAGCCCCCGGACAGGCGCCACGGAGGGTGCGGAGGGTGGGAGGCGGACGGGGAGGAAGGAAGGAAGGGACGGTGTCTTTGTCAGCAGCGGCTATGACCTCCCCCAGTACTGAAGATCAAACGCCTCCCCGGGTTGTAGCGGTGCGCCTTTTACCATGCGGCGGCGGACGCGGTCTCGCGCTGCAGAAGTTTCCTAATCAAGCTCCCCCTTTACATTGCGCTTTTCAGAGTGCGAATATCCTCTGACGTGTACGAGCCCTCTGTGATGGCGGTGGGGTGGTGGGGTGGTCCGCCACGCCCTCCTTCCCCCCCTCCCGCCCTCCCAGTCCCAGTCCCAGTCCCAGTCCCAGTTCCTCTCCTACTCTCCTCGTAGCAGCCCTCTCTCCCTCCCTCCCTTCTCATGTCCCATATCATTCCGACTCTTCTTTCCATTTCATCCCGTGCACACAAAAGCGCGCAGCACCCCACCAGGTAGCACGTGGTGATGACCTCCCCTGGAGAGATCGGTCGGATCGCCACGAAAACACCACAGCCATCATTGCCATTGGTGCCCTCCCCACTATCAAGGAGGAAACGATATCTGGGGAGCGGGGAAGGACAGGACCACCCCGCGCGTGTACGACGGCAATATACAAAGATACGGCGTAGCACGACAAAGCATGGAGCAATATCTCAGGTAGCGTGGCGTTGCCTTGGTATCCATCGGAATGTCGAAGATTAGCTAAAGGCAAACTTGATTTTTTTATATCTATGAGCTTACGAGTTAATGCCGGTAACTTGAAGATTTTAATGTTTTTTTTCGAAGATTGATGACTTGAGGACAAGAATGCAAGTGCTATGAGGGAGAAAGTATTCTCTGTTCAGCTAATGTGTGTCATGAAAGAAACAGGCAATCAAAGTGACTTAGTTGTTCCAATCAAAACCGATGTGAAACGTCGGAGATGCCAATAACATCAATCCGAATTACGTATCTCCTGTGGTGAAAGGTCGTCTTGCACCGCAGCGCCGCCACGGTCACCCGTCCCGTAAGTCTCTTATCAACAACTAGACTCCCTCCGGCTTCTTCCCTCCCTTCTTATTAAGCATCTCTGCTCCGAAACATCCGACATGCACTGACCGCGTATTACCCTCACAGCAGTGATTGACAAGGCTGCCGACTTTGTACAGGGCACCGCCTCCGTCACGCGTAGAGTAGCAGTTGCAAACCCATGCCAGCACTACCCGGATGACTTCATCAGAGCTGGGGCAAGCTGCAATGGGTCCCAGCACGCTGCTGGAAAATGCTTCACAATTTCTCGCGGCGTCAAGCTGTTCGGCGTACTGCCGAGCGGCCCGGACGTATGGCTCATCCTTGAATACGTTAGCGTCAGGAGTATAAAGCTCCCAAACAGATTTTTTCACTTCCAGATCTGCAGCGCAATATTGCAGCATCTGAAGTGTGAAGTCAATTGACGCATCTTTACCAAGCAGGTCCGCGCGGATGCCCAGATCCTTGTGAGCCGCAAAAATCTCATCAAGAAGCTCGGAACTTTCGACCGTCGCCAGCAGTGGTTGCTCGCGTACAACAACATCGCCAGCAGCAAAAGTGCGATCAGCCACTAACGCATTGCCGTAAGGTTCCACATAGCGC